CTCGCCTCGTTGCTTGGCTTCTTGGCTGTTCGGCTTCTGCTTGGTTTTCAGCAGGTGTGTGGTAGGTATTTGGCGACCTGATGGGCGTTTAGTTGGCTTCTGGTGGCTTCTGTTTGGTGGGCATGCTGGTGGTTTTCTGATGGGTTGCTGGTTGGGTTCTGGTTGGTTTCTGGTTGGTTCTTCGTCCCCTGCAGGCCAAGGCGCCGCCAGCGGCGCGGCTTTCGCATGAGGCGAAGGCATCAACGAGGCAGTCGGGATGCTGGATGCGGGCGGGGATCTGTCTTTGGATGGAGCATCAGCCCTTTTCTTCTAGGGACTGCCCTCCCCGCGATTTTCTTGGTGAATAAATTAGTGCTATTGGCGGGACGAAACAAGCCGTTCCCCGAGCAGGAGATTCCTCCAAACAACCCAGTTTTCCGTGCTTCTCCCACCAACATTGTTGAATGTTACCTGCGCTTGCGACGTTTTGTGGGGTTTTTCTCATGTTCATTTTTGCAAGCTTGTCCCCTCAGCCCCCGCTTGCATCCGCTCACAGGCGCCAGCTTCGCGGTGGTGCGCAGCGGGTGCAACCTGAAGCTGGTGCCGCCGGGGGCCTGGCGTTGCGAAGGGGCGGCTTCCGTGTTGGTTGGACACAGGTCGGGTCGGATCGACACGGGGGGGCCCTATGTTGCAGCGAGCCAGGCAGCGACCCAGGCAGGCCATTTAGGAGACCCTTAAAAAGGGAAGAGGGAATGGACGCCCATTCTGGTTTTGGCTGAGGCATTGCTGAAAACAAGAACTGATGCTTGCATTCGGGTTTTCTCGGTCTCAGAATCTTGGCCTTGGGTTCCCTTAGCAATGACTCACTCACAAGTTTGGAGAGCCCAATGACCCTGGATTTCTGAGCCCGGCGGATTTGGAAATGGGTTCCAAGCAAAATCACGCGGGCGAGGGCCATGGGGCGAGGGTTGGAACGAGCCTTGCTTCTCGAAATCGGCAAATTGATCCGGCCCTGAATCGCGAGTTGTGAATGAGGGGGATGGGTGATGAAATGATTTGACCCGAGGCTCCATAGTCTTCCAGATCCCCTGTCTTCGGCCTCTTCTGTAAAAAAACGTTCAGGGAAAGTGGCGGAGATTCCGCGAGATGGGACTTTCTCGCAAGCAGGACGTTGGCATTGAGTGGAAGCGGGGGAGGAGCACGGAAGCGGTCTCTTTGTCGGGATGGTTGATATTTCTGTAGCCGCCACCAACCTTTCCAGTCCAGCGTGGAGGGTTGGCAAGACGACTCGACTCTCAAAGTCAGCATGTCGCCAAAGCACCGAGGCAAAGAAGACACGAGCAACCCATGTTTGACCATCACCTTTTGTTTGGGCCACTTCCCTAAACCTTTAAACAACAAGAGTACAGTGTATGCTGGAACATCGCGCGACCTCGCAAGAGTGGGGAACCAATGTTTTCTTGGATGCAGTGGACAAGATCTTGGATTTCCCGTCGGGATTTGGACCAGAATTCATCCTTGAACTCGACGCAGGTATCTTATTCCTCGTGTCAGGATCATGCAAAGGGTGTGTAAACTTGCATTGTATTGAAATAGCTATTCACCACTATGTTTCGTTACAAGGAGCGGCCATCGCATAGAGAGATGCGCCGCACCCAAACCTTCCCAGAGTCGGCGAAAGGTCCGTCTCCGGTGTCTCCCCGAGAAGAAAAACGCAAACAAACAAGCGCGGGGGTCCTTTGATCCAATGCGTCCGCCTCGGAAGCCCTACTGTGGATGGATGAAATCCTGCACTGGGAAACCATGGGCAGCCATTGTTTGCTGCCATTTTCAAGGAAATCATCCTGCCAGGGTTTCTTGGTGCAGGATTTCGTCCACAGGCAAGGGGTTTCCCCACGCGGCTTCCGCTCGGGGAAAATCTGCAGCTGCGAGGTTCGAAGGGGGCCTCCACTGCGATGGCCGCGCGCCAGGCGGATTTTGAGGTCTGGGGGTTTCTCGAAGTAGGGGACCCCCGGTTTGGCGCGTTTAACGGGAGTCCGAAAGGAAACCCAACGATTTTGAGGGGTTGTCGGCTTTTGGTTCTGCAATACGGAGGGGGCGTCTTAAGAAAGGACATTTAAGAAACCTGTGGGCATTTTCAGGGGTGGGCTTTTGGCTCATGGGAAGGGTTTTGGTTCGCCATGACAAAGTCAGCAAGCCCAAGGTGGCAGGGATGGATGAGTCCAGGAGTCCTTGAGGCCAGGTGATGCGGAAATCGAAAGCCGTGAGCCGCAGGGCCGGTCCACACGGCGACGCCTCTGGACATGCACAACTTCGGGGCTGACTTCGACTACGAGGCCTTGCCCCCCCTTCAGTTTCGTCCAAGCCAAGTGTCCTGAGTCCTGAGGATGGTGTTTTCGTGGAAGCAAACAAAGGGCGGGGAAAGGCGGTCCGGCCAAGTGTGCTGCATTTTTTTTTTGCTCTGAAGCGAAGGGCGCCATCTTCGGGATCCAGGAGTTCTACCAAACCTGCGAGTTCGAGCGCGCCGGGCTCGGGGCCGGCTGGTTGCCTCAGGGGTCGGCACGGCGGGGTGGAGTTTGCTTGGGGGCTTGAAGGGGTTTGCGGCAGGGGGGGGGGTGAGTGTTTCAGGGATTTGCAAGGGTTGGGGGTTTGGGGGTTGCGGAGTTGGTTTGGAAGATTGGAGGGAGCTTGCCTGGGTTTCGGATGGGGTTGCTCAAAGAACCACCCTGGGCATTTTTTGTCTTTCTCTCCTTCACTGATTCAAATAGATGAAGCAACACTTCAAAGGGCGTTCATTTCCACCATTAGCCTTATCTGTTTGGATTGACCTGCCCCGCAGATCGACACATGCAGTGACAAGTTGCAGGCTCGAGTCTGCCCTGGCTGCTCGTTTCTTGATCCATCAGACTCGGGCTATCTCCATGCCAGATGTTGCTGCCTCCACCCCCCACGGGCCGAAGTCGTGGGCCTCCGCGCTCCGGTCCCGCAGCTCATTTTAGCGACGGAGCCACAGTCGCGGGTCGTCGGTGGCTGATCGCCTTTGAGGTATGTCTTAGAAAGGAAGCCCGGGGTTCAAAAGCGAAGTGAGAGGAAGCCAAGCGCGCTTGTGGGTTGAGTCTTTGTTCTGAGAAAGAACAACGCCACTTGTTTGGTGTATCTCCCCTGACACAACATGCTACAGCCAGGACTCGGAGCATCTCCGATCCTTTCGCTCCTGCAAATGTTCCCTTCACATCCAAGTTTTTGTGGTTCGTTTGTTTTGAGAAGCTAGAGGAGTTTTCTTCAAGAGGGTTTGTGTACTTGTCGGGTGTCCCTCTATATTTCCACCAAAAGAGCTTTGCAGAGGTCAACTTTGGTTCAAGTGTTCCGTCTCATGCTGCCCAGTTGTCTTTTTGTTCTCTGCCATCCACCAAGGCCCTTAATAAAACGAACCCGGCCTGCAGACCCCCCCCCCCCCCGCCCCCCGCTTCTTCCCCTGCGGCTCCGCGCGGCTGCGCGCGATGCTCACCGCGCGGCTGCTGTCCGGGGCCCTGGCCGGCGCAGTGGATGCGGCGGGCGAGGCGCCGGTGGCGGCGCTGAGGGCGCAGGTGGCGAAGGAGCAGAGCTGGCCGCGCTTCAAAGTGAGGCGCCGAGCACAGGGGGAGGGGGCGGGAGGGTATGGACAGGAGTCCACGACGAGTGGCGGTTTTTTCTTTTCTTTTTCTCTCTTTCTGCATTTGAGGGTATTGCTGTTTGAAAGATTTTCGGCCAGTTGCCAAAAGAAGCTGTGATGTTGACTGGCGGATTAATATGTAGTGCGCGAAGCTAACCCTGGCTCGCATGGGATACTCAGACGAGCCGCGGGGAGTCAAAATCCAAGGGAGAACACTTTGTGTCACTTTCCACAGAGCACTTTGTGTCATTCCACCAGACTCTTTTTTTGCTGTTGCTTAGGGAATGAGGGCATCCAACTGGTGGTTTCCTTTAAGAAAATCGGGTTCACCTCGCCCACCGGCCCTCCCTATCGCACACCGATCGCCAGTTTGGTTTGGTTGCCAACGGCGCTCGCCGCTCGCCGCTGGTCTCTCGCGCGAGGCTGACCTACGGGGACCAGGAGCTCAGCAGCTCGCGCTGGCGCCAACTCGGGGAGCCGCTGGAGCTGCAAGCGCTGTGCTGCGCCGGCGAGGCGACCAATGAGCTGCAGGCCCTTGGGGATGGGGGGACGGGGGGAACCGGCGGGGGGGGGCTGAGGATTTTTTTTGGGGAGCTGGTGAGGTGTGGGGTAGTTTTGGAGCTTAGGGTTCTAGAGGTTTGGGAAGATTTGGTTGTGGGACTTGGGGCATGGTGTTTTGGGTGGTGCTTTCAACCATGACACCTCCCAAGGCTTTGTGAAATGACTTCGCTTGGGTTGGATTTTTTCCAGAAACGTCAGAAACCCTTGCGGGTTTGGGGTTTGCCTTCCCCTCCAAGATTCTGGCGGTTGCCTTGTGCAGGTGGCCAAACCAGGGGCCTTCTCCATGGGGCACTTGGGTACACGCATGGGCTGGATGGGACCCGTGTTTTTTTTTTCCGGCCGACCGGGCGGGTTTGGGGGGTCTCGCAGGGCAAACAAATATCAAGATCCAACAGCCGAAGGCAAGATCCATTCAACCCAATCCGACGTTCGCAGAGTGCCCGGGCCTCTGAGAGGCAGGCAGGCACAAACGGATGCCATGATTGCAGCACCGGATGAGCCGTTCCCCGTTTTGCTTGGGGGGAGGGTTTCAGGGGATGTTTCGGATGTTGCGAAAAGTATTTTGTCTTTTGATTTTTGTCGGTTGATTGTTGGGGCCGCTGGTTGGTAGTGTATATACACCTTGCCGGAAGTATAAAATTGCCTTGTTGTGGTAGGACACATGTCTGTCGATGTTTTTTTTTTTTTTTTTTTTTTCCTTTTTTTTTTTTTTTTCCGAAACAAGTGATTTTTGTGATGTTGAGTCCGCTAGGATTTCTTTCGGGTGTTTTTTCTAGGTTTGAGTGAGTTGGCCGGACACTGCACCGTCCAAATGCATCCGCATATAGAAGACGCCCCCAAAATGCCAGCCCTTGGCTTACAACCATGAGTTTACCGTGGGCTCTATGTGTGACCAGTGAAGGGTATCCTCTGCACCCAAACACATCAGGATTCATTCCAGGTGCCAAAAGTGATCCGGGATGGGACAGTGTGAGAAGGGAACCAACCCCAACCCTTTCCTCAGACTGGCTTTGACACATGTTCTATGAGAACGGAGCCCCATGTGCCACTCCGGACCCGATGCGGGTTCACCAAACAATTGTCTTGGGCGAATGTGAATGAAATCCAAAGTGGCAGGACCCTTGTAGGACTTTGAACGTTCAAGTGGCAATCCCTGAAAGCTGGACGCGTCGAAGGGACTGATTCTGTGCAGAGGACAAAATTAACCACACAGGGCTCCAACAGCGGGGCTCCTGAAAAGATGCAAATTGGCCATTTGAAACAAGCTTTTTTTCCCAGCCGACCAAACTGGAGCCCGTCATGTTTGGGGCAAGCTTCAGGCGGATTACATCAGAGTCACTAGCCAATAGCCAACTTGCTGAACATGGGAAGTTTGCCAAGAAACTTGTGCACTAGAACTATTTGTCACTCAATTCCCATTGTTCTACCACGTTTCAGTGACGACAGCTTATCGTGGATCTAAAGAGGTCTCACCATTTCAGGCCGAGCTGTTGGATGCCGTCGCGGAGAACGAGGCGGTAAGGGTGGAGGACGCTTGTGGGTCAAAAGCAAGCGGAGAACGCAGGCAAAATCATTGAGGCGAAAGCTGAAGGGAAGCTGGTGGTTGGGTGTCCTTCAGCTGGGGAAAAAGTGTGCTTTTGGCCACAGCTTGTTTCGTGATATTTTTACATTGAATGTTCAGCTAGGTGGCGTGGTCATTGCTAAGAAGTTTCTTGCTACTAGTTTGTAACATGTCCCTCGCGGGAGCCATGGTATTTGTGTTTCGTGTGTGCCCCGTCCCCCTCATGATCAGCATAGTATTTTTGTGTGCCCTTGAGGTATGTGCCCCAAATGTATACCCCCAACCTACACCACAGGTTGGTGCAGTTGAAAGGAAGTCCTGCCCCTTGACCCATGAACCAAGTCCAGGCAAATCAACAGCCAAAGCTTTTTTTTGTTTTGCTTCTCTTTTTTTGAAAAGCACGCCAAACAACGTCCTTTTGTTGGTCTTCGCCTATCTGGGGGGTAGCTAGAGGAGATCCTGGCCGCGGGCCAGCGGCCCATGTGCCTCTTCGGCTCCGCGCCCTTGGTGGGCGCCTCCACGCTCACGGCCGCGGCGGCCTCTGCCGGGGGGTTGGAGGCGGGCGGGCGGCTTGTCGCCGGAGTTTGGGCGAGGCGAGTTGGACGGTTTCGGGATGTTTTGGCTTTCCTTCAGGTTTCGAAAAGGGGGGTTCCGCAGTGAGCCCAAAGCCATTTTGCAAATGTGGGTCAAAACCACTGGGATCCCATTTTGGCCGCCGTGTCAGGTGCTGAGGCTTCTGCTGGAGGCGATGGCTGAGGTGAACAGCCAGGCTGGGCCGGGTGGGCCGGGGTGTCAACGGAAGTGAACCCACCCCCCCGGAAGCCCATCTGCAAGTGTCACATGTCCAAACAACCAAAGAAGGCGTGCGCCTTGGCAGATGTGTTCCTTGAAGATGCTGTCTTGCAGGCTCCCTTTGCATTATGTGTGATGCCCAGTGTTTCGCGTTGCAAGGCGGTTGACATGGCAAGAGTCTACCCTTTCGGCATCCAAAACTGGACTTGCGCCCGAAACATTGGCCAGAGGGGGAGTTGTTTCAACATGTCAATTCCTTGTTTCAACACTAGCTTCCGGAAGGCCATCTTGCAATTGTCGGGCTGGATCAATCTTCCTGGCCCCAATCATTGGGACACTTTTCCCATGTGGGACACATATATCATTTATTTTCCCGCATTTTTCCAACCCATATGTTTCCCGGACCTTTTGCCCACCCCAACCCCCGACCCCCGCTCCCTCGTGCCTGAGGACAGCTGCCTGCAGTCCCCGCTGCACGTGGCGCAGCGAAGCGCCTGCCGCCTGCTGCTGGACTTCCGCGCGGACCTGGAGCTCCGGGACTTCCACGGCCGGCGGCCGTTGCATCTGGCCGGCGCCGAGGCGAGGGCATTGGGAGGGATGGGATGGGTGGATCGGTGGGGCGTGCATGCCGCACCGTACCGTACCAGTACATTGGAGTACACTTCATTGCATTGCGTTGCATTGCATTAGATACACGCATACACACATACACACACACACACACGTACATGCATACATGCAAACATGCAAACATGCATACATGCATACATGTTCCCCTTTCTGATGGTGCACAAAGGCCTTTAACGGGGTCACCCTAATTTTTCGGCACACCCAGGGAGTACCTGACAAGATGAACACGGGTTCTGATATGTTTTTGGCCATCTGAAACATGACCTTTTTTCCGTATTTGCTTTGACATGGGCAGATGAGATGCCAGCTCCGCATCAAAGTTTCT